ACGGCCGGAGGCTTTTTTGCCTGGGGCGGCAAAAAAGCCAGAGCCGGCCCTGTTGCTGGAGGACCCCTCAGAGAACGGGAGAACTAGCAAGATTAGGACATTGCATGGGGCTAGAGCCAGAGCAGTGGAGAGACGGGATTTTTAATCAGGCTGTTTAACACTCCAGTATTAACAGTGTTCAATCCAAACTCCGGCCACCTGGGAAGAAAGCGCTTTATAAAGGATTCAGCATCCCCCTTCAGTGGAGATCTGAAGATGCTGAGCTCCAGTTTTCTCCTCCTCCAAGCAGATCTCCCGCAGGAGCAGGGACAAGATTTGATATTTCTAAGTTTAAAACAACCACAGCCTGAGCAGGGAGAGCTTGGAGGCTGCCTCCCTCCATCACAAAGAGCAGCCGCGCAGTGCAGGCTCCTGCGGACCAGGGCGTGTGGTCACGTCTCTGTTCCAGTAACAGAGCGCCTGGCACTTGCTCATTGAACTGCACCAACAGCAGGGCTGGAAGTGCACATAGGTTTTGCCCGCAGGAGCTAATTTTTGCCTTTACCTGCCAAAGCCCCAGTCTGAGGCTCTGTTGGTTCAAACGGCGTGTGGCGGAGAAAGACACTCAGAAACGTGGCAGGGTCCCCCACCACCAAACAATCACATCCCTGAATCCTCAAACACCACCTTTCTTCCGGGCTGCTTTCCACCCCACACTCCTCCCGCTTCCCTCCTGAGAGCAGGTGTCACTGGTTCAATCTGCTAATTCCAGCCAGAAAGATTTACTGGCAGACCGTCTGGTTCATTAAGCTGGTGTTTGCGTTCACCAAGGCCCTAAAGACATCATTAAAGCCTCCAAACACCGTCCATCGTTAGCATGGATCAGCAAGAGGCCCCACAGTGCTTATTAAAAGCTCTCACCTCCACAGCCAGGGAAAGCCGAGCAACCTCATGTTGGGAAAGGTGTTACGCTACTGCCTGGCTCAGGGGAAGCGTTTTCACAAGTCCAGGCTGCTCAGATTGATTTCTGGGTGTGCAGAGCCCGGGAGCAGCTGTGAGGAGGGAGGGGAATTGATTGCGAGGATCTTGCTGCCCACCCCACGCCAATTGCC